TATCAGACATCTATATCCTGACCTGTTGTTTGAGAAACACTACAAAATCTGGCACAATGCACTGGCAAATAAAGGTAATACAATAAAAATAGTGGTGATTGGTTGGATGTTACTGCTATGGTAGAATATATGTCAGAAGAGGGAATACGCTATGCTGACTATAGGATAGCTCTGTTTTACTGTACTTTCAAACCATAACTCAAATACCCTGTGTTTTTCAGAATGTCTGTAACTTTTTTTCTCTCCTCTTAATGCAGTCCCTTCTATCCATTATCTTTATGTACCCTATCCTGTCCAGAGAATATCTGGTGGAAATACCAGCACAGAGCACCTTGCAGGCTGGCAACTTGGGCTTTGCAAAGCTTTTATGGGAGCTATAAGGAAGACAACCAGCAAAAATAGATTGATATCTGAGATAGTGTCTACACATGCTTGTTATGTGATTGACTGTGACAATGCCAGATGATGGAAATAGATATTTTGCAAGCTTTACTCATCAAAAAGAAGCAGACAGAAGCACGAGCTTCTTTCATATGTTTTCTTTTTGTAAATCATGTTTCAGTGAAACACATGAGTAAAGTCCTATTTAATTTGAACTTTAAGTCTTAGCTATTTGTTGAACAGCATCAGGCAGGTAATGTCTAGGGGACTTCTGAGGACTTGAAGCCTCTCACTTTGGTCTTCCAGCATATTTCATATTGGAACAAAAAGCCAGCATCCTTGAAAACAAAAAATCTTGTAAAAACATTACCCCTCTTGGATTCTGGCAATACACTGAATGGGAGTGAGCTTTGAACTCTGAGACTACAAGGTTAGGTTTAGTGCCCAGGTGAGGAAGTCCCCTGCAGAGCAAGTAGTGCAGGGGGAGAATTCAATCACTAAGGTATTTCCAGGCTGAAACACCTGGATGGTGGATTAGACTGAAATACATTCACAGAATGTGCTGAGAAGTGTCTTCCAAGCAGGAACCAATTACAGAAAAGAGGACATTTGTTTCTTTAAGTACAAATCTAATTTTTGGTTATTCTACTGGATATACAATATAGAAATTTTTCTACTTTAATAGATAGGGATGAATTCTAACTTGTGCCTGAGCCTCTCCCAGTACTAAGCAATTATTTCTCCCTTTTTCTCACCCAGAAGCCTTAGGATAGTATATAAAAAAATAACAATATTCTTCTAAAAGATTTGGCTGTCAATTTGCTGAAGAGTGTCTTCTGGCTAATAGGACACAGTTCACATTCAACCTTAAAAGGCCTGTGATAGAAACTATTAAATACCCCAATTAGGAATGAGAATGAGCAGTCCCTTAGGGACCTTTGCACTCTGATGTTCTCACTGCCAGTGGAAGAATAAATAAGTGCAAAGCCTGTCACCCTAGCTAATAACTCCCAGAGACAGAGGTTAGAATGACACAATGGGAGTTAGCCCATGTTTCAATGATGTTTTGCTATTAAATTTGCCTCTCTGAAAGGCATTTTATGACTTTGAGAAAAAAAAAGGTGTCATATGACCCAGCAGTCTGGGTTTTATGACAGCCAGCACTAATCAAGCACAGGAGACTTTTATTTTTTTAAAATAATGTACCAGTAGCTTTCCTTTGGAGGGGAATATGAGCTAGAATTGACCCTTCTACAGGGAGCAGATATTTCTTGACCAGGCAAAATCCTGGACTACACAGAATGCTGCCAGGTCCCCAGGTCCCCAGTAACCATAACAAATCATAACAAGGAGGAACCAGGAGAATGATGAAGATTCAGCACTGCAGTAGACATCACAGGGGCCAGTGAACCCATATTCCTGTTATTAGGAGGATCTTCATGCCACAGTCTTGTCCTGCTATAATTTTGATGACTGCTGGATAACCACTCAGATTAATGTCTGATCTCTCATGATTAAGAAAAAAATTTGCATGCTTTAAACCTCATATTTAGATAAATGTGGAAAAAAAACCAAGTGTTCTAGAGGTATTTTTTAAGTGAAATTAAATTTCATATGCATTAACAGAAGATGTCATGTGCAGCAATATGGCTTCAGAGATGCAGAACATTTAAGATGAAAATTCTGCTTATGAGAGAGTCATGAAAGGAAATGATTGCTGGAGCCTGCAAGACTAGCAAGGGCGATGTTAAAAACATTTAATGTTTTTACAGGTTGGTCTACACGAATCAAAGTCAAGTAAGAAGGCAGCAGGTGTTATAGTTGTTAGTGCCAATTATTAGTTTAAGGAGTTAAGAAACAGCAATGGAGACGAATTATTTAGGGCTTTTAATGCAAAAAGAACAAACGATCTACAGTGCTGGTTAGAGCAGCCAGTATGATGGATACACTGGGAGGTTGGTTTAGGCAAGAATGGAGAAACTCTGGTTTTCTTACAAAGTTTTCAATTCTTTACCTCCATCATATGTCTTTATTAAATTTTCAAGTAAAAAATGGAGCTGGATGTCCAAGCTGCAGCAGAAATAAATAGAAAAGCATTTTTACAGTGTGTGGGGATTCCCACTAATTGCACCATGAGGGCAGATTTATAATCCCTAAAAAAGTCAAATCTGAGGATCGACCCCTGCTTGAAAAAAAAAAATAATTAGAAATAACTGAAGTTATAACACTTCTTTAACATCTTTTTCATTTGCAACCCTCAAAGTGTTTTACAAACATTAATTTCGTGCAGACCCCAGGAGAGCTTCATTACTCTTCCCCCGCTCCCTATTTTACAGGTGAAAAAACAATGCAGAAGTGAAATGTCTTTCTCAGGACCACATACTGCCTGCCTTGTACCTACCAACTTCGATGCCCCTGCTCATACCACTAGATCATGCTGACAAGTTAGTGCGATAATTCCCAATGTGAAATAGTCTCCTGGAAAAGAAATGTATAACCCATTAAATATACAGCTTACTTACATTTTCTTACGTTTAAAATACATCTTTAAATAATATGTTTTCAGTGAGCAATTTGAATAGTTCATAATTTATAACATTAAATTATGCCAAGGTGTTTTTTTGCAGTCAAATCTAATGAAATTGCTGTTAACTTCAAACCAGAAGTTGAGCCTGTGATTCATTGAAGGGTTTGTCACTGTCAGACTTGCAGTTAAACATATTAAAAATTGATCCACTTATATATACTTTGCTGCAGTTGAAGTTATCAAGGTTATAAATTCCGAACAGTTCCCATGCTTGTGGTGAGGAATACCAGTTTTAGGATGACAACACTCAGCATAACCTTTCTTTTTGCACTAAAAAGCATTTTCCTCCACAACCTGCATGTTTAACCTCTGAGATTTCCCCTTTACAGAACACAAAGACTTCAGTTTTCCTTGTGTTTTAGAGATCATCAAGAAGCAGTATACTTCCTTTTTCTTTTCTTCAATGAGTGACTGTCTTTGAAATCACTTTAAGTGCAAGGCATGAAATACTGCTTTGTGAGTTTACATACCTCTTCCAAAAACACTGGAAATGCCAGACTAATGCATTCAAAACAGATTGGCTTTGTGGTTGTTTTCGTATTTAGGTGTCTGATTTGGGGTGTCTGGAAAGAGCCCAATGCAAAGGATGGATTTTAAACTTCAAGTGTCTCCCAAAAGATCATATATATTTATATATACAGTATGTGTGCCTATGCACTGAGCTCTCTGAGGAGGTGCCTCTGGTCTCTGCTGTGAATGTTCTCAGCCCCCTCGAATGGAATAAAAATTCCCAGTCTTGTTTCTCCTAACTGTTCATCTCAAGCCTTCAGATCTTTCTTGGATCTATTTTTAAAACTATTTTTTTCCCTATAATATATAATCGGCACTCACCTGACAGGAGAGTTTACTCAAGACTTTGAAAAAGCTTCTTTAGGATCACATGATAATAAATGCTCCTTAATCCCAAATATATACGAGATACAGAGCAGGGCCCACAACAAGTTTTATAGAGAGCATTAGTGTCATCAGTTTAAAGAGAATTAAAAAGAAAAATAACATTGCATTCCTGAGGAAAAATCCAAGTAGTGCATAATACTAAAAGGAACCTTTCTAGAGGGAATTGCTTATGAAAGAGATTTTTAGTTCAAAATAAAGAAATCACTAGGCACTGCATTAGCATTATATTCATCAAAAATAGTCTTCTGAAATATCAGGATCCAAAGAAGAGACCAAGTAAAAGACTCAAAGGAAAGTAAGCAAGCCAAATGGAGAAACTCCATCTTGCATTTGCAGCAAAGAGTGTTTGTGATCAGATTCACAAATAAGACAGACGCTACCTGCAGTTGGGAACATTCGAAACCTGACTTATAGCTATGATCCATTACAGTGCTAGATTTATTGACCACCTGTTGTGAAAACAGACCCTTTTTCACAGCAAAAGCTCAGCTCACTGTTTGCGAAGTATCTCCTGTGTTATTTTCCCAATTTCCTCGAAGACGCGATTAACCAGTGCTGCTCCATCCCTGCACGCTCACCAATCAGTGCAGTATTAATAAGACGCCAGGTGAGACAACTGAACCTCCTGGTGAGCTATTGAAAGGAAAGTGAGCTTGCTAAAAATATTTAGAGATTTATTTGATTTCTCTACATGAAGTCCTCTATAATTTATCACTTCAGCTCACACTTGTTCTGTTTTCTGCTTTGTTTTATTTTAGAAGGGGGCCTTTCTCTCCTGATATACAGTAAGCACATCAGATGTTTGGATCTATGATGGTTATCTGTGCACTCCAGTCCCTGTGTTTAGCTATTTTCCTATCTGGTACACTAGCAGGCTTCTCTGGTTGTTCTGCTGAGCACAGAGAGGCTGAAACGATATACATCTCAAATGTGTATGTATTGAGCAATACGGTTACAGTGTTCTCTTCTTTAGGAGTTATATTGTTCATAAATATCCAGATATGAATGGGCACAGCGCTGGGGAAAGCAGGAGATTGATTCTTATTCTTCTGAGATGCAGAAGCAGCCTGCTCTGCTTTACTAAATCACAGTAAAACAACCCCTCATATAATGGTTATTTAATTTTATCAAACAGGTCCCCTTGGAACAGGCAGGTTTTCTGTGAGAAGCTGAAAGCAAAATCAAACATGACATTTTGGGATATTCATCAAAAGCAGTTGAATGAATGAATGTCTGAAAACAAACACCAGTTTTCCCCCAGTATTTCAATAGCCAGGGTTGGAGACATGACAAATTTTAAAAATAAAAAAAAAATCATTGGGCTTACATTGTAAACTGCTGACAAATAAAAACAATCTGTTAAATTTGTTTGAAAACTTGCATTTACTTAGCATTATAATGGAAAGTCTTATAAGCATAGAAACAGTCCCATGGAGCTGTTGGATGCCATGTAGTCAGTAACAGCAACTATTCTGTGTATGAAAGTCTGTCAAAATCAGTAAGGACTGCAAAGTCCAAAAGCAAAATAGGTATGGGAACATACAGGTAGTGGATGTAGTTGCCACTCAAGATGACCCAGAACTGGTTATCTCACTACATTTACTAAGAAAGGTAACAAGGCACTTTTGTTTCTGGTACTTCTAAATGAACACCAAAATTGACTACAGGACAAGTACATGGAACAGACTGGTTGATACTACAGAATAAAATCAAGTTTTTTACTATAAATCAGTCTCAAAATGGCCAATCCTAGCCAGATTGAGAGGTCATCGTATATCTAGCCATCTCCTAGGTAATGTTGAAGTAGGAATATTTGATAGATTCATATGTGCCTGGGTGGAAAATTACCTGAAAATGTAAGAGGTCAAGCTTGGTATAATACAGAAGGCATGAATGATATCCAGAAAAATGTTTTGGTGAATGGCTTGAGTTATATCCCAAAAGTCTCAATGAAGCTGATGTTGTTATCTTAGGCTGAGCACTCAACAATGCTGCTCAAAATCATTAACTGTCTTTGGAGATCTTGATTTTTTAATGTGGAGAGCCATTTGCAGGTGAGGAGTTTTTTTAAAAAAAACACATTGCTGTATTACATTAAAAATACATTATATTACATTGTATTACATTAAAATACATTGATATATAGCCATGTAAGTAAATATATAAATTAATTTATTCCGTTCAAGAGAGGGCTATGGGCATGTTATATTTATCTCCACTGAGCACTGAATAAAAGCTTAAGAGCCTGTGGAAAGAAGTAAGGGTTGAGTACTCCTGAAAGATGGAAGCTTACCACTGTTTTACTGCTCAGTCTTAGTTTCACAGGATTTAACCTCAGGCAGAGATTAAATGGCAACTTTTTACAGGTTTAGACAAACTTACTGAGCCCATTGCATGCAACAGGGCATTTTCTTTCAACGGTGATTTATGTCCTCTGTGTGGCTGGAGCAATAAATACTCTGCAAATTAACTCCATGCTGGCTTGTAAAACAAAATCTACATTAATCTCAACTATCAGAGACAACTATAAATCAAATGAAAGTGAAACAGGGTAAAGAGAGTTTGGAAACAAAGCTCCATCACTGGCAACACAGCCCTCGGCAGACATTTTGGCAATGTTGGCTGAGTTCAGCTGTCAGGAGGCTCCAGAGGACTGACTCTTGGGGCACCTTCAGCAAGGTGGAACATGAAGCTTCAGGTCTCCATAGGCCACATGCAAGGTCTTGGAGACCGCTGTGGGGAATAATTACCTCTGCTCCAGGAAGGAGATCAGTAGGAAAGCTGAATTTTTTGTCAACAGGAGGAGGAAGGAGTAATTGGAGAGCAGGAATAGGAACATGGAGAACGTAGCAGAGTCTTTAAATTTTAACATGAGGCACATTGGTCCTCATGGGTCAAGAGAACAGAGAAACTTCACCTTTTCCGGTTGATGTGTATGAGTCACATGTGTTTGTACCCAATGTGTGAGTTATCCTGGCTCTATCTTTCTGCAGCCAGTGCTCTGGGAGAATCATATTATTGAAGCCTTCTATAAAACTTGTTTCCAAATTATCTTTCCTGGATGAAAGGTCAATGCTCTTCTTTTTGAGCTAGCTCTGAGGAACCTCCCCCATAACTAAACATACAGGATTTCCTACAAGCAGTGCCTCCAGCTAATGCCAATGGAGGAAGCAGGAGTTGTTTCAGATTTGAGAGCTAAAGGTAAGGAGGAGAAGGAAAGAAGTATACATAGCTATTGTAGCTATTTCTACTGGACTATGAAGTGTGGCGAAATTCCTATAGTTTTCTTAGCCTGAATAAATGTATTCATCAGGGCCCCTTTTCATCAAAGAATACTGTATGCAAGTATCTGTAGGTGCATGGACCCTACATCTTATAGATGATACACAGATGCAGTGTTAGATATACACTTACAAAGCCTCCTTAACTGCAATATAAGCAAGCATCATTTGCTATCGGATTTGCAGCACTCTCATATTCTGTGCTCCAAATTAGTCTTGGGTGAATTCCATCCCCGCAGCTCACCCATTCTTCTATTACAGCTAATCCAATTACTTCAGACTCTTATCTTCCTTCCAGTGTGCACATATGCCATCTTCCTCATGGAAGTCATTCTGTAGAAAAGTTAATAAGCATATTTATGTTACAGAAGTAATGCACCAAAGTTTTTATGAGCACAGGAATTTATTATCTTTGTGGTAAGCAAAGCAACACGTTGCTGAACAAGATGGATGAGTAATTTAAACAAATGAAAAGGAAGAATGAATGGATAACTGAAAAAGGCTACACCTCACCCCCAGTTCAGACTGGAAATAGCACAAAGAGAAATGTTCTTGAAAACAGATGGTTGACACAACAGAAAGCTTTTGGACTCAAACTTTCCCCCTTTGCAAAATGAAAATATGCAGAGTGCCTGTTGATGACGGAGTTTCCCAACCTGTAGGTGCCAGTAGGATCTGACAGGGCACACCAGAACTCTCTACTTGAATCAAGTTAAAGCTGAAACTTGACCTGGTTCTAACTAAAACTGGTTGTAAGGAGAGGAGAAGCAGTGTTTTCTTGCACTTGAGCTAGTTACAGAAATGAGTTCGAATTGTGAGAGACAGATGTTATCAGAGCTGAAGGTGCCTGGAGGCCTCTGTGTACAGGTGGCTCACTGCAGACAGGGGACCCCACTGAAGCCTCTGTGTGAAAATGCAACCACTGAGTTTGCCGGCTCACATTCCAGCAAATGCATTCTGGTGCAATTATTCTCTTTCTGCATCTGTGTGGTGTCTTATTTTCCAAACTGGCAGTGGAGAGGCTTCCAGATTCAAACACCAAAATGGGATCTAATAACTGCTCATACGAGATGCTTGGGAAGCAGCCTGATGACTGAGTTACATTTTAAAAGATGGGAGGGGCAAGATCTGTACTAGCTGAGAGCTAATCATGCTCCAGCACCATAAAATTGGAGAGGAAAGGACTAATGCACACGCTGAACTGTGATGCCAAACTCCACCAACGTGGCCAGGAGGGAATGTCCTCGGACTCTGGAGTTGCACCCCAGGACTGGCTCTACCCCTCCACCACCACCAGGGCCAGGGAGAAGAGGATATCAGCACCAGGTTAACCTATAGAAGGAAAAAGGAAGGAAAAAGGGGAAAGAGAACCAGCCCGTTTGCTCTGGCACCCAAAGCAGCTCTTAGCTGTTCTAAACTGTTCTGTGTGGGGCTATCAGCATAGTTGATGCTGGATTATTACAGCAAAAATGAGCATTATGAGAATATATTCAAGTGCAGGAGAAGGATAGGGTAAATCAGCATCTGGTAAACCAGCTTTATTATGAGGCAATTTTTTAACTCAAGAGTAAACATTTGTTCCCCTGAGCAAAGAAGTCATCCCTCTTAAAATCCCCCATAATGAAAAGACCCATAGGATATACCATCTTCAGGACTCTATTTCCTTTCCCAGTGGGAGGACTCATTGCAAAGACATTCAAAAGGACAGTGGGGTTTTTTTATGGAAAGCAGCATGGCAGGCCCATGGGGGTCCTAACTCTTGTCGTGTCGCTACCTGAAAGCAACAAAGAATTGCTCCTGCCTGCAATATCCAGTATACAATGGCAGAATTACATTCCTATATGTCTAGGACAAATGTGTGGAGCTGGACTGTGGATTTCCAGTTCATTGGACAGTGTTCTACAGGCATGGGTACACACAGGCTGCTGCAGGCATTTCAGCTCCTCTCCCACAGCTGAGACTCTGCAGGACTGCTGCTGTCACCTGGTCAATTTTTTTAGGGGAAACCAGAAAATGGCAGCTAAGGAGTTGATTAGATAAATAACATGGTGTTTCCAAGAAAAAATAAGCTGCCCTTTGCAAACAAAGATACTTCAAAGACAGTTTGCTTATCACTTTCCCTTAATACCATATAATTTAATACCATATACAATTGGGTAAAATATATACCTTCTCAATGTTCTGCTCTTTAAGACTGCAAGTGCACTGGGGCATCCCTGCCTATTCCTTAGCATTTGACCTGGGCCTTCACTTAGCCCAATACTAGTTCATCCCTTGGCACTACAGCAATAAGGAAAAGGAAATTATATTCACGTTAAACAGTCACTATAGCTTTGGATACAAAGCAAGTAAAATGGATTCACCAGTTCATAAACAGAGAAATGTTTCCTTTGGTTATGGGTTTTCTCCCTGCTCATACAGACAATTGCCAATTATTCCTGCCTATAGGTATAGAAAGATTACTCATCACCAAGTTAACAGCAAGGTAATCCACAATTGCTTCTGTAATTCAGGTTTAGAGTTATTACAGCAGCACGAGTCAGAAGGATTAAATGAGAAGGAGGGTATGCTGAATACAGGAAAATATTAAATGCAAATTGTAATTATTCATGACTGACTCACGAAAAAAATTTGTATTCAAAATCTGTCATGATTTAAACATTGAAGAATACAATGCTTTGCATTTATGTAATGACTTTCATCAGAGGATCTCAAAATGCTTAGGTGGCACTGAGATGAATGCAAAATAATGTCAATCTTGCAGAGGGGCTTTAGGTGTGTTTCTTCTCCAATTAGCAACCAGTGGAAGGTCCTGCATTTGGGATTTGAAGCAAGGGATAAGCTAAAGGACAGAGGAAGCATCTTAAGACAGAGCCTAACAGTCAGACAAAGACAAGGGGGCAGACAAAATGGTGCGAGGGGCAGTCAGCAATGTGAGATATACCACATATCAGCATGTTACTCCTCTGGGAGTGAGTGACCCCAACCAACACTGCTAAGGCTGCATGTGGCTGTGTGCTTAGGTGGACACTGTGCCAGGAGAAGCTGAAATGTGT